TACGAAGTCGTTAACTGACTCCGACTTACGCTGCTTCTCAGCGAGGAGAGTGGCCATTGACACTTCCGTGTCGTCGTCGAAGAAGCGGGCGAGGAAGAGCTTTTCGACGTCGGCCCATGCCTTGATGGAGCCAGGCTCCAGTTTGCGGAACCACTCAAAGGCCACCCCCTTGAGGGTACCTATGAACAGTCGAGTGAGAATGGCGTCATTCCCGGTAAGGAATCCGGTTTGCGCCATAAAATAATAGATGTGCTGCGAGGGTGACCCCTTGCCATCAAACTGTAACAAGCTGATGGGTTTGAACTTCGCTGGGTATGGGACCGTGTCCCATTCCGTGGGGTAGGGACGTACCACCCCCAGCTTGTTCATATTTTACTGAAGCTTCAGCGCGTTCAGCTGGTCTTGGAATTCATCGAACCTCTTGTCACGGGTGCTATCCGCAGTGTGCGACGTTCCTATCGATGTCTTGGAGGAATAATCGGAATGTTGATTATCCTCCGCCTCAGACACGGGACGGAGGGGAGGTACCCACTCCCTGTCTCTAGTTTGCCGGGGCAAGGGGCGTTGGGCCCTTTTCTTCTTTTTCTTCTTGTTCAGCAGTTGTTCCATCATCTCTCTTAGAGAGTCGATGGTCGCCTGCTGTTCCTCCAACTTTTGAGCCATTGTCTGCTCGTGGTTGGTATCGGTCATGTGTGCCCTCGCCTGCGCGTCTTGGCTTGAGCGCGAGGTCTGAGATGTGGCAGCGGCCGAATGGTCCTCATCTTCGCCGCAGGAGGGAGGTATTAGGTTGGAATAGTCAAACCCAATACTTACCCCCCGGCGACTACGGGTTCGCTGGAATATGCCTTCCTGCCGACGTCGGGCAGACCGGGTGTTAGGTCTTAAGACGGAGTCCGAGTCTGGCGAGTCGGAGAGTACCGCCTTCCCTTTATCCGTCATGTTGACTGTGGCGGATGAGAGTTCCAGGTCGTCAGCAGCGCGTCTCTTCTGGTGACGGCGCCTTCGACGGGAGGGCCTCGGTCGAGAGGCCTGTTGAGAAAGTCTCTCAAACACCGAAGGTTTCGCCGTTCCAACGCATTGGCAGTCGGCGAGGACCGTGTGGATGAGTCTCTCGCAATGACACTGAGGATTCGCCTCGTGAATAGTGCGTTTGCGAGTCAAGAATTCTCTGAGGTCTTCTACGGGTGGCTGGTGACAACCCCCGGCCTCAGAAGAGTCGCTCTGGTGAGTCGACGAGAGGTTTTTGGGTGCGCCCTCTGGTGCGCGTTGGATGGAATGCTTTGGTGCTGGAGTCGAGCGATCTCGCCTTGACTGGCGAGTCTTCGCGTTTGAGCGAACTCCAGTACGTGGGCGAGTTTCGACCCCATGTTTAGAAGAGCGGGTTCGGGAGGAACCGCCTATTTCCTTTCCTTTACGTTTATCCGCCAAATGATTATGGCGAGGCTCGCCAGCCTTCGAGGATTCGCCTACTCGGGTAGGCTCACTCCTTGGGAGTGAGTTATTCGCATCAGGGATATGACCTGAGAAGCGAAGTCCTCCTGAGCGGATGGCTCTGCTGTCCTCGGTTGACGCTCCTGATTTGGAGGGCCTTCTGAGGTCGGGCAGCTTGCCTTCCCGTCTAGTGTTTCTCGGGCCTGTGTGATGGTTCAGGCCATTATGAGAAATGGAGGTTTGGACCCCCTGTCTGACGGGTGTTTGCCGTCGCTGTTGGTTAGTTCTCCCAGCGGGGAGAACGTCACCGTGGGTTGTGGCATTGCGGTTTGTGCCGGAGTGAACCGGCGCTTCCTCCGAGGTAGGTGTCTGTGTGGACCGCTTGGCGATCCATCTGGCAGACCCTTGCCTCTTGCGCTCGATCTCTGGCTTGGCCTTGATCGATCGCGAGGGAGTGGGCTCCTCCGATGAGACTCGGTTGGAACCCTCGGGTGCGGAGGCTTTGACCGTCTGAGGTCGGCCTCGGCGCACAGCTCTGTGGCGTTTGCGGGACGCATTGCCACCCGAGGAGGAGGAGGACAAGTATTCTTCGTACTTGGCCTGGTCGAACTCGATTTCGAGGGACTCTACTATCGTCCCGATAGTAACCTCATCAAATTGAGCCACCACCATTTCACTCGATGAAACAGCTGCTCCCACTGTGGTCGCCATCTTCTGTAGGGTGAAAATTTGATTCTTCCGAAGAAAGGAGTTTCGTTTGTATTTATAAGAAAGCTTATTACAAACTAACAAATCAAATGTTTACAACAGAAGCAGAGGGAAGGCCCTCTTTGTTTTTGTGTGGGGACTTTAGGTGGCTATAGGACGCTTCGCTCGATGGTCGGGTCGAGTCTGCTTCCCTTGGACCGTTTGAATGAGGTTGCTGGAGAGCTTCAGTTCGCAGTAGAAGCTCGGGGCAATGGAGTTCGGGTCTGCTTGGTTCGTCGGCGATCGGAGCCCGGAACTAGGCAGCAGTGCTGTAATGCAAGGATTTGCTAACAGCTTGGTCTCAACTCTTTTTTCTCCAAGTTTTGCGACACAGTACTCGAGTGGGTCTAGCCAACTTGCCGAGTGCCGGCGGATCCAGCTCTTGACTCAGACAGCCGAGGTGAGTCGCATTTATGAATGCTCAGGTTGACTCGACACCTGTCCAGGCCTTCGTGCTGTGCGTACTGCGAGCGGCCGTTTGACGGTCCTGGGGTACTGTGCTCTCTCCCTTCGGGTTGAGAGGGATGGGAAAGTCCAACTCAGCACGTGGGGTAGCGGATACTCAGCTGTACTGACGGTCTTGGGGTTTGCTGGCGGATTCGACTCTGGACTCGGGCAGGTGAGTTGAGTGAAAGGCGAACTTCCGCCATCCTGATCGATCTTAACTCGTGCTGGCGAGCCGACCGTAAGGCGAACCTAGAATCGAGCATATCCGATGTCTATGCGATTTAGGCCCATGCCAGAGAACCGAGCGTGCGAGCTCTTCTCGCAGGCGAATTTCCTGTAAGCCTATAGAGGTATTTTTTACCGTCTACACAAGGATGATAAACTTCATCACCTGACTCAAACAAGATTATCCGGTGCCGTAAAAGAGCTAATGAGTACACGAAGGAAGTCAACAAAGAGTACGAGTCAACGAAACGACAAAATACACAAAACGGCGGAACAAGACCAAACTGAAAAGTCCGAAGAAGCCCCTAGCAGTCGATTCACATCAAAATGACTCGGCCAAAGCCGATCCACCCTAGGGTGGCTCGCGCCTAGAAACGCCTAAAACGCATTTTCGACGATATTCTCGAGATTCTTTCGTTCCAGAACCTCCCCAACTGCTTTGATATCATCCCTAAATGTCGTTAAGTGGTTATTAACCAAAAATAAGGTCAAATCACTTGTTCCTATCTAAAAACACTGTATTCGAAACCTATAAATACAAGCCTAGGGCCCTATACACGAGGAGATCTAAAATTGGAGGTGAGGTGCTGTCAAATTGGAGAGTGAACCACAAATTTCAGAGGAGGGCTAGTAGATCTTGGCGAACTCCAGCATAAAGAGGGAGCTATTCAAAGGATCTGAGGCCCGTTTCATCATTCCTTGAGATCAGACTTTGTTTTGATCTCGAGAAGAGTAGTAATCCCACTTTGTTAAAATTATTTACTTCTGTAATTATTTTCTTTGTGAAGCAAGAGCATTGATCTTTTATTCCGATTAACCAGATCTGATCCACGATGGTCCACGGATAAACCCCGGCACATGTAAAGATCCCACGTAAGCAACGGGTGATAAACATCATCTGCGTGTGTTTCTAGAGAGTTGTATTTTTATTTTTATTTGTGTAAGAAAAGTATTATAAAAAGACTAACTCTTTTGAACTTGCTGTAAACGTACGATTTAAGTTGTAATGAGTTTCATGAATAAACCAACTTTCGACGCAAACACTTGTAATCTAGGGTTAACAGAGGGCGTAGCCTGATTCAAGAATATTGTGCGAGAGGTAAGAGTTTCGTGATCTTTGTTCGTGCAAAAGATTACAAGGAGTGGGCTTTGGACAGAATATGACAGTTGATTATGTATGTGAGGTTGAGAGATTGAGAGACGAAGTTGGTCGACCGAACCACATAAATCCCGGTGTTCTTTTTTCTTGATTGTGGTCGTTTTATATCTTGTTGATTGTGGGTTGGCTTCGGAGTTGCGCATATTGTAGTAGGCGGAGAGAGTGAAATTCCCCAACAGGAGCAACACCATAAGAGAGCTTGCAAATTTAATGACGTCGAGGACAACGAGTTTGTTACTGAGGCGGAGTAAGGGGAAACTGAACCGTGTTAGAAGAGAAGTCAAAAATAGAGAGGAATTAGTATTAAATAGAAAGGACAAAAATACCCTTCCCTATTTACAACCCTTTTTTTTGTTTTATAATAATTAAAAATCAGAAAAATAGTATTTAGGAGTACCAAAGCAATCCTCTAAATTAATATACACGTGTTCGAATTTGTTAACCTCCTCAATTACAATACTCAAAGAAACTGAGATATCGGAAAACCTCAAAGCTTCCCCCATAACATTTCAACAAAGGTTATCAAGCTAACAGCTGACATCTTAGTTGTATCGTGCATCTCAGTACCGGGGAACTATTATTAACCTTTGCTTTCCTATGAAATAACTGTCTTTTTTGCAATGCTGTTCATAATGTAGATCGAGATGCTTCTATGTTTTTTGGGCTTTTTTCTCATTATTAGTCCCTTCTGCCAAAAGTTGACTTCTTCATCGTCGTCCTTGCCGGTTTCACCTTAATTTCATCCATAAGTTAGGTTTCAATAGTAGAGCCAAAGACAGTAACCAACATTTGGCAAACAACTTGAAGTTTCATTACAAACAATTTTCAATACATTTCATGATTGTGAATCAGGTATCATGAGTCCTCCTTTATCAAACCAAACACGCACGCACACACGTATGTAGCTGTTCTTTTTATTTTCCATATAATATAACAAGAAGTTTAATTATTTGCAGCATAAATTTATAGAAATAAATTACCTTGAAAAGATCTAAGAGAAGAGAGGCAGCATGAAGCGGCGAGCCTTGTACTTGGCCATCAAAGGCTTGCGCATACACACATCAAACCCCCGGCTCTCGCTCATGTCGACAAGCTCCTCTCCTACTCTCTCCCACTCAAAGCACTGAAGCAAACTCCCTAAAACCATGAGCATCACTCTCATGGCCAGACCCGACCCAGGACAAATCCTCCTACCAATCCCAAAGGGAAAATACGCGGACTCAAAATCTTTGTTCTCCTGGGCATTCAAGAACCTTTCGGGCTTGAAACTGGTTGGATCAACCCAATGCTCAGGATCTCTGTTCACCGCGTACACATTCACAATCAGCATAGTGCCTGAAGGGACATGGAAGCCGTCCACGGTGCACTCGTTTCTTGATTCGTGAGGGACGAGGAGGGGATCTATGGAGCAGAGCCGCAAGGATTCTTTGATGACGCTGCGGAGGTAGGGGAGGTTGGGGAGGTCCGAGTTATTGCAAATAATCTTGTTAACGTTATTTGTTTTGATTTAGTCATTTATTTGACCTATTCTCTAGCTTACCTATTCCATAGGAATAACGTTGCAAATAAACAGGCAAACAGGTTTGCACTTTGATATGTATAAAAAGGGGACCATCAGTACTCAATAAAAACAGAACTTCAAAGCAAACACTTGCAGCAACGAAGATTGAGAGACAATCTTATTCTTTTCTTATTTACAGTGAGTTTTCTTGTAGTTCCAACTGAGTGTGTGAGAGAGTCTGAGTGAGTCCCTTGTCCAACATTTGGTATCAGAGCGAGGTTGTATGCCAAAGATCATGCCACGAAGTAGCAGCTCCGGCATTGATGACGCTACTACCACGGGCGCGCCGATTAACAAACTATCCGGCGTAACTCTCCACTATCCAATGCTGACCAAGACGAACTATGCTGTATGGGCTATCAAGATGCGTGTCTACTTGCAAGCTCAAGGCGTCTAGGATGCCATCGAGCCTGGAACGGATGTGGAGACAAGGAAGGACAAAATGGCGCTCGCTGCCATTTATGAAGCCATCCCCGAAGAAAGCCTGCTGCTAATAGCAGAGAAGGAAACGGCGGAGAAGGCTTGGCAGACGCTCAAGACCATGTATGAAGGCGCAGATCGCGTCAAGGCGGCAAAGCTCCAAACTCTCAGAAGTGAGTTTGAAATCCTCCGCATGAATGAGACGGAGACAGTAGATGATTTCGCCGAAAAGCTGACTGCAATAGTCAGCAAGATTGCTGGTCTGGGCGGCAAACTTGATGAAAGGACCGTCGTGAAGAAGCTCCTTCGTGCCGTCCCCAACAAATTCCTACCGATTGTCACATCAATCGAGTAATTTGTTGATCTAACGACGATGACCGTGGAGGAGGCGATTGGCCATCTCAAGACCTTTGAGGAGAGGGTCCGTGCCAGCGGCGGGGATGATAATGAGCACGTCCTACTGACCTAGAAGGAGTAGAACATAAAAGACAAGGAATCTAGTGAGGGTTCCAGCTCGGGCACGTCCAAGGGGTGCGGCAAAGGCAACTGGCATGGCCGGGGACGCGGGCAAGGCCGCGACAATGGCCGTGCTGAGGAAGGTCACGATGATGATCAAGACTACAAGAAGAAAATCAAATGCTACAATTGCAACTACATGGGGCATTATGCCTCAGAATGCCGGTTCAAGAAGAAAGACGAACGAGTTCACTTAGCCGAGAAGGATGACGACGAGCCAACTTTGCTCGTAGCACAAACCTGTGCACTAGTGCAAGCCACCAAGGAGCCAAACGTCTAGGTGATGCTCAATGAGGAACGCGTGGTTCCAGATTTGGGAGGTGAAACAAGGTATGTGAGTGATTCTTGGTTTCTAGATACTGGTGCAAGCAATCACATGACAGGAAACAAAGAAAAGTTCACAGAGTTGGACAAGTCTGTGGGAGGCACCGTCAGGTTTGGAGATGGCTCTGCGGTCGAGATCCAGGGACGCGGCACCATTCTTTTCAAGTGAAAAAATGGTGAACACCGCATTCTTACGGACGTCTACTACATACCACGACTGCGGAGCAACATTGTCAGTATCGGCTAGTTGGAGGAGAACGGGTGCCACGTGGTACTCAAAGACAATCACCTATGCATCTTTGATCGCAGCAAAAAGCTGCTGGCCAAGGCCAGGAGGTCCAGAAACCGACTCTATATTCTCAATTTGAATATTGTTGAACCAGTACGCCTACTGACAAGCATAAAGGATGATGCTTGGTTATGGCATGCACGCTATGTCCACCTGAATTTCCAAGCACTCCGAAATCTAGCTAACAAAGCCATGATAGTGGGGTTGCCGCACCTGGATCACATTGATCAAGTGTGTGATGGCTGCCTTGTTGGTAAACAACGTCGTGCACCTTTCCCTCTTGAAGCAAGCTACCGAGCAAATAGACCTCTGGAGCTGATTCATGGTGACTTGTGTGGGCCAATTTCACCGCCAACAGCAGGAGGTAATAGATATTTCCTTCTATTAGTTGATGATTTCAGCAGGTATATGTGGATCTCACTGCTAAAAACAAAAGATGAGGCACTGGAGGCCCTTAAAAAAATCAAGACGGCAGCTGAAACGGAGGTAGAATTGAAGCTCAAATCCCTCCGGACTGACAGGGGGGGCGAGTTCACGTCAAAAGAGGTTGAAGTTTTTTGTGACAAGCATGGAATCAAGCATTTCCTCACCGCACCCCAACAAAACGGCGTAGTTGAGCGAAGAAATCAAATAGTGGTGGCAATGGCACGAAGCTTGTTGAAGAGCAAGAACATGCCTGGTTGTTTCTGGGGTGAGGCAGTGACCACGACGGTTTATCTGCTAAATCGCGCACCAACTAAAAACGTTGTTGGGAAAACGCCCTACGAAGTTTGGTTTCAAAGGAAGCCCAAGGTGCATCACTTGAGAATATTCGGTTGCCTCGTCCATGTCAAGCCAGTGACTCCATTCCCCAAGAAGCTTGCAGACCGAAGCATGCCCATGGTGTTGTTAGGATATCAACAGGGTTCCAAAGCCTACCGCGTGTATAATCTGGTAACAAAGAAGATTCATGTAACACGAGATGTCGTGTTCCAAGAAGACAAGCAATGGGATTGGAACCTAGTACCAGGCAAAGATGCAAGGAGAGAAGGTAATGTTTTCACAATTGAGAATTGTTCTCCTCAACCTGCTACAGGAACACAGGAAGGCGACGAGGAGTCAGAACCTGGCACACCACAGGTGGCTGCAGTACCGACTGGGGAGGGAGTGCATGGAGCCTCACTCGTAGGGTCGACGGCGGGATCCCTCTCCAAGCTCCAGTGGGACGACAGGAGCTGGACCTCGAGGCTATAGATCTCTTCAAGATGTATATGATACATCTACACCCATTGATCTTGAAGACGAAATAGGACTATGCCTTCTAGGAGCTGAGGAGCCTACAAGCTATGAAGAAGCAAAGAAGCACGTGAATTGGAGGCATGCAATGGAAGATGAATTGCAGGCCATACACCAAAATAATACTTGGGAGATGGTGGATTTTCCAGATGGCCACAAACCAATAGGCCTAAAATGGGTCTTCAAGATCAAGAAGGACTCCGAAGGAGCAGTGGTGAAACACAAAGCAAGATTGGTGGCTAAAGGCTATGTGCAGCGCAAAGGAGTGGATTTTGATGAAGTCTTTGCACCCGTGGCGAGGCTCAAAACAGTGCGGCTGCTCTTAGCCCTGGCCGCACAGGAAGGGTGGCGTGTGCATCACATGGATGTTAAACCAGCCTTTCTCAACGGAGAATTGGAAGAAGAGGTCTATGTCTTCCAACCACCCGGGTTCGAAGAGAAGGACAATGAGCATAAGGTTTTCAGGCTCAAAAAGGCCTTGTATGGTCTTCGTCAAGCCCCTCGAGCATGGAACTCCAAGCTGGACAGGAGCCTTACATCACTCGGATTCGAGAGAAGCCCACTCGAGCACGCGGTGTACAAAAGGTGTACTGGAGAATCAAAGCTTCTAATTGGAGTTTATGTGGATGACCTGATTATAACCGGGTCTGATGACAATGAGGTTGACAAATTCAAGAAACAAATGATGGAGTTGTTCCACATGAGTGACCTAGGATTACTCTCGTACTATCCGGGGATCGAGGTGTCACAAGCGGCCTTTGAGATCACCATGTGCCAAGCAGGGTATGCGAAGAAAATCCTTGAGAGAACCGGAATGTTTGATTGCAATCCCTGTTAAGCTCCCATGGAACCAAGGACCAAGTTAAGCAAGTTCAGTGAAGAACCTCCAGTTGATGCAACCTACTACCGCAGCATTGTAGGAAGTCTCAGATACTTAGTGAACACTAGGCCAGACATCGCTTACTCGGTTGGGATTATAAGTCGATTCATGGAGAAGCCGACCACTCAACACATGGCCGCGGTGAAGCAAATTCTCAGGTACATACATGGTACACTTGATCTGGGCTGTATTTATACCAAGAAGGAGGAAATGACGAAGTTAGTCGGGTATAGCGACAGCGACCTTGTTGGCGATATAGATGACCGGAAAAGTACCACAGGTGCTGTCTATTTCTACGGTGGGAATCTGATCACTTGGATCTCTCAGAAACAGAAAGTAGTGGCTCTTTCTTCATGCGAAGCGGAATATATTGCAGCTGCGACTACAGCATGTCTAGGCACATGGCTGAGTCGCCTCTTGGCTGATCTCAGAAAAGAAAAAGAAGAGGCAGTGATCTTGAGGATTGACAACAAATCTGCGATATTGCTTTGCAAGAATCCGGTATACCATGACCGAAGTAAACATATCGACACCCGTTATCACTATATTCGAGAGAGCGTGGAGAACGGGAGAATCAGAGTTGAGCATGTCGCGTCAGAAGAGCAGCTAGCTGACATCTTAACTAAGCCACTCAGTCGTATGAAATTCATAGAGTTGCGAAGCAAGATTGGACTGCAGACTGTGAAGAAAAGGCAAATAATCTTGTTAACGTTATTTGTTTTGATTATTTGACCTATTCTCTAACTTACCTATTCCATAGGAATAACGTTGCAAATAAATAGGCAAACAAGTTTGCACTTTGATATGTATAAAAAGGGGACCATCAGTACTCAATAAAAACAGAACTTCAAAGCAAACACTTGTAGCAACGAAGATTGAGAGACAATCTTATTCTTTTCTTATTTACAGTGAGTTTTCTTGTAGTTCCAACTGAGTGTGTGAGAAAGTCTGAGTGAGTCCCTTGTCCAACACGAGTTGTCAAGGAGGCGGTTGGAGCCCACCACAGTGTTTATTTCGGAGGTTGCCTTGTTCTTGGCTTCGGGATGGTTGAGGAGAAGAGCCATTGTCCACGCAAGCTGCTGGTGTATGGGGGTAATCCCGGATAATAGCAAAGTCTGCATGGGTGCGCTTGAAAGTTTACCAAAGCACGCCGTATTAATAGGCAACACATAACATATACATCCATGTACATGTAACACATACGTACGTACAGAAATATAGGAACATACCAGTGAATTACCTGCTGAGATTTTACTGTTTTATTGGAGCAACTGTTGATCAGGGACATAATTTGTCGCCTCAAAATTTTAGTTTTCTTTTACTTAATTTGTATCGTCCAAACAAAATTTCACAAAATAGAAAAAGTACTTTAATTATCAAGAAAATACTCTCCTGTCTTAGGGGTTTTTTTATAGTAAATCCAAAGAATTACTCTCATTTACTAGGAAAACCCACCTAATTCCATATGTTCCAATAAGTCAAAAAATACAAAGTTATTTTTAACTTTAAATTCAAAATACAAAACACATAGTATATATAGCTATATACAATTGGATAGGCAGCTATACATCCTATGATATATAGCTACGCATCTAATATGTATAGCTATACATGCTATAATATATACCTATATGCCCTATATAATGTGTATATAAACTTAATTTGTGCTCTATATTTTGTATTTAAAAGTAAATAAACTTTGTATTTTGGAATTATGGGAACAAATATAGAAGGATTCGGATCCTCTCCACTACAAAAAAAATAGTGAAGGGACCACTACATAATCACAGCCATTGATTATCTAGTTGATGGTTATGATTTTTTCTTTTAGTGCAAATTAGGAATGAGTGAAATACACGGGGGTATGGTAAGTGTTAGATTTAGATTGTATCACAACCGCCTACTAAATAATCAACGCTTGAGATTAAAAGTAGTGGTCTCTCCACTACTTTTTTGTAGTTGAGAGGATCCAAATCCTATATAGAACTAGGTGTGACAAACTGGGAGTATTAATTACTTTGGGTTTGTAACCAAAAATATTTTCACTTCCTTTTACTCTCCCGGGATGAATCCAAATACATTTTTGCCTACCTGTATCATTCCTTTGAGTTAGTTATCAGTGCAGGTCTCCTTCCCCTCCCTCTCCTGCATCTCCACAAAAGCTTCAATCACGTTAGAAGTAGTAGTGCTCTTTTCGTCTTTCTTCTCGCTCCCTCGTTGTTTTCTTTCCGCCTCCAACAGCTCAACCACCAACTCATCCAGCTTCCTCCCCACCCTCTTCCTCTCCCTCCTGTCCCAAAACCCCACGCCCACGGCAAAAAGTCCCCGACGCTCACCACGCTCATCAACCGGAAGAACTCCTCAACGCCCCAACGATACTTCCTCCCGATCTCCGTAACATCGTCTTCATCCTCCCCGAAGCAACGCTTCCCGGACACGGCCCTCATCACCACATTCATCGTGAGATTCGAAAGCTTGGGGCGTAATAAGCCGGAGTTAGGATGGTCGACTCCTCCTCCTCCTCCTTTGAGAAGAGATCTTAACAAAACTTTGACTTCTTGATGGATGATGCCGCTGGAGAGGGAGTTGAGGATGGCGGGGGAGAAGATGACAGAGTTGATGGTGCGGCGTTGCCTCTGCCAGAGGGGACCGTAGGGAGTGGAGCCGAAGGCGGTGAAGTTGTAGGTGAGAGTCTTGAAGCTGGGGAAGGGGGGGCGGGTGGACTGGCCGTAGCGTACGGGAGAGTCGAGGGAGGCAGTGGGTGGAGGGGGAGGGAGAGGAGGTGGAGGTGGCCAATGATAGGGAGGGAAGAGGGAGATGGAGGGAGGGGAGGGGAGGAAGTGAAATCGCGTCGACAGCGGCGGAGGAGGACGAGAGTGGAGGTGGAAACAATGGAGATGCTGGCTAAGAGAATCAGGAGGGTGTTCATGTCTGACATGGCAGATTAATGTTATGTTGAAATGATGATGATTGTGAGGTATTTTAAGGATTCGCATCCTCTCCACTACAAAAAAAATAGTGGAGAGACCACTACATAATCACAGCCATTGATTATCTAGTTGATGGTTATGATTTTTTCTTTTAGTGCAAATTAGGAATGAGTGCAATACACGGGGGTATGGTAAATGTTAGATTTAGATTGTATCATAACCGCCTACTAAATAATCAACGCTTGAGATTAAAAGTAGTGGTCTCTCCACTACTTTTTTGTAGTGGAGATGATCCAAATCCGTATTTTAAAGCCAGCAGCCGCTTACTATGCCACCTATCAATAGTGTAGCCCCGGCTGGCCCACCCCACCACCGTTACTGTAGCGAAGCGTGTGCACCTACGATAGTTGCACTATAAGTACCCCCAAGTAGGGGTGGCAAACGGGTCAACCCGACCCGACCCGACCCATATAAAATTTGACCCGACCCGTATAAGTGTGACCTGACCCGACCCGTTTAATAAATGAGTCAATGTGATCCGACCCGATTATTAAACGGGTTACCCGACCCGACCCATATAACCCGAAATAACTCGTTTATCTAATACAAGACATATACTAACACATATAACTAATAAAATTTTTTATACAAGCACAAAAAAACACTTCTTGCAAGCTGTTTAGACAAAAACTATCACTACTCACAACATGGAGTTATTTCAAAGACATATTCATTATTTAAATGTACTTCAACGAATTGCAAATATCGGCAAACAAAAATACATCGATGCAGCTCTTTAGACACAGACTAATCTAAACTTCAACAACAGCAACAACAACAACTACAGCAGCAGCAGCAGCTTCAGCAGCACTAACTTCAACAGCTTCAGCAGTCACAGCAGCATCAACATCTCCAGCAGTAGCTACAACAGAACAGTTGCAGCAGCAGCAGCAGTCATTTGTTCAAGGCCCTGGACGGTCCCAAATCATGTCGCAAGGAAAAATTTCTTCACAAGGACCTGGAAATATTGGTCGAGGGGGTTTCCTAACACAATAAGCAATGAAGAGCAGTAAAGGAAAACATATGTAGACATTATACAATAATGTAGCATGTAGTTATCCTGGCATGGGTATGCTTCTGTAAGAATCAGTTTAAACATTCATCTGTGCAGGAATTTAAACAGCACCCTGAGCAAGCAAGTGGCAAAAAATCTTTATGCAGCTAAATAACAAGGGCGAACCAAATCGAGATAATAGCTCTGTGATGGAAGAAACCTCAGGATCTCATATATGCTCAACAATAAGAAATATACGCATGCAGCCAGAGATAATCTGAATGGTCCAAGTAAATGCAGAGAAAATACACTAGACTCGTATCTGGCAAAGTTGAATTGCTAGAAACTGAATCAGCATGAACATGGCTGAGTGTTGAACTAATCAATGTTTAGCATGTTAAACAACCTAAGAGCCATAGTGTGATATCCTAGGTGGAAGGGAATCCTAAGAGTCAAAGTATAATAAGTGGGGTGGTATTCTAAGAGATGACTCCTTGTATTCTATGCAAGTAAATGTGTAGAGTTAATGTATGGAATATGAAGGGTCATGTATAAGTCTATATAAACCCATGAGTGGGAGAATTTGATATGAAAAAAAAAGAAAAAACATAAGCACCAAATTCTCTATCTTCTTCTACATCTCTCTCTCTCTCTCTAATTCTCTATCATACTAGCCTTAGCCAAAGTTTTTCTTCACTACTCAGTTCAGAATTACAACATGGTATCAGAGCTTCGTTACGACAACTGAGTGTTAAGAAACCCTACCTCTACAAAAACACGAACACCCACTACCAAAACTCTTCCAAATAGCCTCCTCAAAATGACCAATACAATTGTCGATTCTCCAACTTCATCTCGGATTCAAGTGGCTGACCCAATAGTCATTGAGTCCGACCCAAAACCTACCTCCGGCGAGATACGAACACCGATCTTCTCCGGGGAGAACTACGACTTTTGGCGGATCAAGATGAGGCAATATTCAGAGCGCATGACCTTTGGAAGCTGATGGAGAAAGGTTTCGAGGTACCAGAAGACGAAGACTCTCTCACCCTGGCGGAGCAGAAGACATTAAAGCTTAACTACACACTACAACAAAATACAATATTGCCGACGAAACAAAAGCGTCGGCAAAAGTTTAAAAAACGTTGGGAAAAATCTTTCCTGACGCAAAATGCAGCGTCGCTAACGCGTCGCCAAAAGTGCGTCAAGGAAAGTATTTGGCGACGCAAATACACTGCGTCGCCAAAAGTACACTTTTGGCGACGCGTCATGCGTCGGGAAAAGTATTGGCGATGCATGCAGCGTCGGCAAAAGCTATGCGTCGGCAAAAGTATAGCTTTTAGCGATGCAAAATTGTTCGTCGCTAAAACTATACTTTTGGCGACGCAAGTTAGCGTCGGCAAAAGTGCAGCTTTTAGCGACGCAGAGTGAAACGTCGCTAAAAGCTATACTTTTGGCGACGCAAGATAGCGTCGCTAAAAGCTATACTTTTGCCGACGCAAGGTAGCGTCGGCAAAAGTATAATTTTTGGCAACGCATAATTATGCATCGGTAAAAAGTATAATTTTATCGACACTAATTTGCATCGACAAAAGTAATATCTTTTCTGTCAACTACAAGCCTACACTGAACCTGAACATCCACAAAAAATTTGCTCACATTCACATCAACAAAGAAACCAAACATCAAATTATACTCCAAACAAGTTGCATATTATGATAAACAAGGAATTTGCTCCAATTGCAAAATAATTACATTCATTTCCATTTCCAAGTCAACACTCAAAGGCCTGTTTAAATATTCTAGTTTGTCATATTCAGTGTTTTCCATTTCAGAGAATGACACATTATAAGATTTACAGGAAACTAAACTAAGTTGAAAAAAAAAACAGTACATATCCATAAGCTCTTTCATGTGTGGTAGCCTTTCCATCAGTTCTTTGATTATTTCCTGTTAGAGAAAATGCAACGTCATATTATCAGCTACATATATATAGCTCAAACAAATACTATTCGTACAATTTTCAGAATTCATCGTATTTTCCCTCCAACTATTTTGTTACATTTCCTTCTGCAGTGAAAATATATAGCTCAAACAAATACTATTCGTACATATATATATTTCCAGCAGTATGTATATTTCCCAATTATTATTATTATTATTATTATTATTATTTTGGGGAAGGTGGTAAGAGGTTTAGCTGCTTTTTTTATACACTAATGTGAAGTAGCAACCTGCCATCTCTAGTTAGTATCTGTCCCTAGTTAAAGAGGTTTGCTGTAGCATCAAAGAGGGTTATAAATGATACCCAATAACCTATCTGATCATTTGGATAATTATCAGTTCAGATTTCTTTTTAAGTCCATCTAGTTCCATAAATTATGAAGGAAAAGCACATTCATACTGACAGTAAATGTTACTCTGCTCAGACTTGGATATGATTGACTAATAAAACAGCACATATGAGCATCCGCCTTACCTGGATGCCATGTCAGATTCTTTAGCATTTCAATGTTGATCCTATAATGGCGGCGGCCGCGGCAACACTAACAACAAAGCAGTTATCCAAAAACTTATGGGTTTCTGCTCTAATCCTTTTCACCATTTATCTTTATTTAGGCTCTGGCGGCTAGCCTTCTAGTGTTCAGATAACCAGATCACACTAGCAGCCTCACTCTGCAATAGTCATTTCACAAAACTTGATTACTGTTTTGTGGTTTATCCTAATTTACATAAATGACAATGATATTCGAGAGTATGAGATGGTGTGACAAGCTTGGAGGGGCTACCACATTGCAGGCAATCTTCACGTTAGTGTATAAAAAAAAGCAGCTAAACCTCTTATGCAAGTGAACTCCAGAATTGGAAAGAGTAGAAAGAGTATGACTTACAAAAAACAATTGGGAATAGTTTTAATTGTTCATGTGCTCTCTGTGGAGAGGAAAACATCCCGGAGCTGAGGGCAAACACTAAAAGTGGCTCTGGGGGCGTCAATTGAGTATATTCTGTGCTCCTCTGATATTTTAAAGGTATGAATAGCCAAAGCCAAAGCCTAAAGGTAATTTTACGGTTTATCTTATGAGCATCGAATATCGAAACATTAGAACCCGAAAATATGAAGGAAAATATACATACTATTTGTGGATGATGGGGTGGAGGTTTCATCTTTAGAATGACAAATTCAATGTCGGCTGGACTGAATGATTGACCTCTTATAGTATAAGATACCTGCATCAGTCACATAATATTGTCACTAAATTTCAGTTCTTACTTGAATTCTGATTTACCCTAGGAAATAGAGAAGAGAAGTCATCAATATGAACCTTTTGCATTAGAGCAAAGAACTTGATGTCATTTCTTGGAACTCCATATGCTAGGTAGGCCTGATAGATTTTGAAACAGCATGAGTTTAGAAGCAATTAAGGTATAAAGATATAAACAAATCTCAATTCCTACAGAATTTTTTTTAAAAGTTACATCTCATGGTAAAAAATGAATCCGTGTTATACTTACATGCATTATCAATGAATTATACAAATTGATCCAAAATGCCAGTTTCTGGTCATTGTTCATAGTGGATGGATCCACTTTTGCCAGTTCCCGCAAAAGGAATCTGCAGGAAAATAAGAAGAAAATGAGGATATAGTAAAGTAAAGAAAATCTAATGAAGTACATAGCGTCTCGTTGTCGGAGATAACATTGATGTTGCAGTAAATGGAGATAAGACAGCGTGGACTATCATCATCATATCCTTAATTTCATATCAATTGGTTACTATTGAAGCATGTCATATGTTTTGAAAGCTCCCAAAAATTATCACAACGAATTAACAAGAGAATCACAGTAAGTAAGAATCTAATACAAAATGTATAAGTCACAAAGCTAAGTACATAGACCATACAATATCATGGGTCAATTTATTTAGTCAACGTGGGACTCAATGCAGAGATCGTACAATCTTAACTACAACATTGCTCATTGAAAAATAACCAACGTGAATCTTTTCAGAGTGTCCGCAGCATACTCAATTTGTTCCTTCCCAACAGAAATAGTCAATTTGTCCGCAGCATACTCAATTTTCAGAGTGTCCGCAGCATACTCAATGCAGGGTAAAATAAATTAATTAGACATGTTTTTTACCCTCTCAGAAGTAGTCAAACGTATCATGAAACTCGACTCTACATTGGTCCAAATCAATCTATGCTTGAATATGTTGACATGCATTTCAAGTGTTTGGAAGGATTACTAGACAATCTGAAATAGGACTATCAAAAACATGTAAGGAGTTATGTCAGACCATCATATTTAAAAAAAAAAACTACTTACAGATGCACATGTGAATGAAAATTCCCAACCAATCGCTACAAATTTTGATAAACATAAAGAACATTTTTAGAAAGGTGCAGACATATGGAGCCATAAAGACATGGAAAATAGTACCGAATAGAACTAGATAAAACTAGATAAAACATTAACCGTCCAGTTAAGTGCAAGTAAAATGTGTTTAAAATTGTTCATACCATTCGTCGGAATTAATTCTTTTAATTCACTGTTTTCAGAAGGACACCTTTCTGAATCTCCACTTTCAAGCTCAGTAGCCATTTTTGAAGTAGCATCGTCCTCAGCAACGAAGGAGGTTGTGACGCTAACAAGTGGAAATATTGCAATCCTTGATACTTGGTTGAATACTGCAATAGACACACCAACAGCTGCAAGCTCAACTGGGCCTGCAATTGATGAACAAAGATCATCAATCTATTCGTTGGCTAAAGAAAATGCAGGGTACGGATTGTTGAATATATTTTAAAACCAATTTCTATATTTCATCAATTTCTTGTATGGTGTTTTTCAAGGAGTACAACAAATCAACATAATTCAGAATTTAAACCTAATAATTCAGAATTTAAACCTAATAATTGAAAAAACTCAGAACTGGGGTTTCGATCAAAGAGTACCTTATCACCGGCGAAATTAGGGGTTGCTGACGGTGTAAGGGGACCTGGACGGCGGGGTGGTGGCGAAGAGGAGAGAGGCGGAGGGTTGAGGCTGAGGTGGCAGCGGCGGAGAGGAGGGAGGAGGAGCGGCGGTGGGTGGTGATGAGGCTGGAGGTGGCGACGGCGGCGTGGGGAGGCGGCGCTGGGGGTTCGGGCGGCACGGATCTGGGAAGGAGGAGGGGTCCGTCGCTGAGGTGGGAGGGCGGCGGCGAATGGAAGAGGGAGAAGCGGAGAGAGGATTTGAGAGAGATGGGGTTTTGAGATAGGGATTTGAGCGGCGAACCAAATAAATTGCGGGAAATGGAAAAATTTTGGACCTTTGCCGACGCTAACTCGCGTCGCCAGTATAATTTTTAGCGACCAACAGCTTTGCGTCACTGAAAAACTATATTTTTACTGACGCTACAATTTTGCGTCGCTAAAAGCTATATTTTTGCCGACGAAAATGAAAAAACATCGGGAAATCCATACATTTTTACCGACGCTAAGTTAAAACGTCGCTAATAATATACACTTTTAGCGACGCTAATTATAAACGTCGGGAAAAATATATGTTTTGCCGACGCTAACTAAAATCGTCGGGAAAAACATAATTTTTGGCGACGTATTCAACCATGCGTCGGGAATAAGCGTCGCCAAAAGTGCAATTTGTTGTAGTGACATGAGGGATGCCAAAGCCCTCGGGTTGATCCAAAATGCCGTCTCCGACTCCATCTTCCCCAGGATCTCCAACGAGGAGACAGCAAAGGCGACGTGAGACATTCTCCAAGAAGAGTACTGTGGAAATGAAAAGGTACGGGCGGTTAAGCTTGAAACTATTAGAAAAGAGTTTGAGCAAATCTCTATGAGAGTAGAAGAAAGACTCGATGATTTTCTTACTAGATTCACCAATGTTATAAATCAATTAAAAACATATGGCGAAGATGTAACAAATCAAAGAGTAGTTCAAAAAATTCTTATTTCTCTCTCTAGTAGATATGACCCAATTGTAAGTGTGATAGAAGAAACAAAAGATATAAAGAAGATTTCATTACAAGAGGCAATCGCATCCATCAAGGCGTTTGACCAAAAGCTTGAGAAGAGGAATGAAGCTTCTACCATGGAGAGAGCCTTCCAAAGCTTCAACATGAGCTCAAATCAACAACAGAGCCAGAAGCAAAAGAAGAAGAAGAAAGGAGGCAAGCCCAATTTTGCTCCAAAGCCTCAACAACAACAACAAAGTGGCAACTCACAATAAGGTAGCAAATCCACATGTAGAACTTGCGGCAAGTCCCATCAAGGGAAGTGCTGGGTTGTAGTAACCACATGACCGCGAACCGGTCACTGTTGATAGACTTAGACACATCCTATCTTGGTAGTGTAAAGATGGGAAATGGGAATATTGTAAAATCTGAAGAAAATGGTATCTTGGCTATAAATACAAAAAGGAAAAAGATACATCAAGGATGTAATGCTTGTACCGGGTCTAGAGGAAAATCTGTTAAGTGTAGGTCAAATGCTCCTTAACAGTTATTTTCTAGTTTTTGGTGATCAGGCAGTGAAGATCTATGATGATAGAAGTTTTAACAACTTGGTGGCCAAAGTCAAGATGCAACCCAACAGAAGTTTTCCTCTCTCATTGCACTACTAGAACACTCAAGCTCTAAAGGTCGAAGAGGTGAACTCCTCCTGGCTATGGCACAAGAGGCTCGGACATCTCAACTTCCAAAGCCTCAAGACTCTTCAAAGCAGAGAAATGGTGTATGGCCTCCCAACCATTGAAGAAATTGAAGGTGTCTGCTCCAGTTGCATGAAAGGCAAGCAGCATCGAGGCGAGTTTCCAAAGGAAGGAGCATGGAGGGCAACAAAGCCTTTGGAGTTGATCCATACAGACCTATGTGGTCCAATGAAGACGGAGCCCCTGGCCGACAACAAATATTTTATCACTTTTATTGATGACTTTAGCAGGATGGCCTGGGTCTACTTTTTGAGGCTCAAATCAGAAGCTTTCACCGTCTTCCAAAAGTTCAAAGCAATGGTGGAAAGACAAATAAACCTGGAGATCAAGAAGATTCGAAGTGATCGGGGTGGAGAATACACTTCAGCAGAGTTCGAGGACTACTGCAACAACCTTGGCATCGAGAAGCAAACCACATGTCCATACACTCCTCAATAGAACGGAGTGGCAGAAAGAAAGAACCGGACTATCGTAGAGATGGCCAAGAGTCTCCTACATAAGAAGAACCTTCCCTATAAGTTCTGGGGAGAAGCACTCAACACCGCAGTGTACCTTCTCAACCGGTGTCCAACAAGAGCATTGGAGGACATGACCCCCTTCGAAGCATTCTCAAGTAGAAAACCTTCCTTAAACCACCTTAAGGTTTTCGGTTGTGTTTGTTTTGCTCACATCCCAGGCCAGTTGAGATCCAAACTGGAGGAGAACACAAGAAGGTGTATCTTTATGGGATACGCAAGCCATACGAAGGGCTACAGGCTCTTCAACCGGAAGACTCAAAAGATCGTCATCTCACGGGATGTGGTTTTTAACGAATCAGCCAAGTGGAATTGGGATCTCAAGAAGGAGGAGCAGGTGCCCACAAACTACATCTACCTAGATTCAGAAAGCACCCAAGATCCAGATCCAGAGCCAGAAGTGCAAACTCCACAAAACGGTTCGAGTTCAACAAGCTCCGACTCAACCACACCCAGATCAAGTGCTAACTCCTCAAGCACACCATCCAACTCTAGTCCCAGTTCTTCTTCCTCCTCAAGCACAACTCCATTAAGATACAGAAATCTTAATGAGATTTACGCTTCATGTAATTTTTGCATATTGGATCCTGAGTCATTTGAAGAAGTCATCAAAGAAGAAGATTGGAAGAAAGCCATGTAGGAGGAGATCTCCATGATAGAGAAAAATGACACCTGGGAGCTGGTAGAGAAACCTGCAGCCAAGCCAATCATCGGCGTCAAGTGGGTCTATAAGACTAAACTGAACCTTGACGGGTCCATCTACAAGAAGAAGTCTACATCCATCAACCATAAGGGTTCGAAGTTGCAGGAGCCGAGGATAAAGTCTACAAGCTCCACAAGGCGATGTACGGTCTCAAGCAAGCACCAAGGGCGTGGTATGAAGAGGTCAACTCCTACTTCACCCAATACAACTTCAAAAGGAGCCTTAGTGAAGCCACACTTCATCAGGGACGCGATCGTGGACAAGGAGATGGAGGTCATCTACTGCAAAACTGAAGATCAAGCTGCAAACATTCTCACCAAAGCGTTGTCGAAGGATCGCTTTTGCACACTTCGAGAACTAATGGGTGTTAAACCTGCTAACCCCTGAGGAGGAGTGTTGAACTAATCAATGTTTAGCATGTTAAACAACCTAAGAGCCATAGTGTGATATCCTAGGTGGAAGGGAATCCTAAGAGTCAAAGTATAATAAGTGGGGTGGTATTCTAAGAGATGACTCCTTGTATTCTATGTAAGTAAATGTGTAGAGTTAATGTATGGAATATGAAGGTTCATGTATAAGTCTATATAAACCCATGAGTGGGAGAATTTGATATATGAAAAAAAAGAAAACATAAGCACCAAATTCTCTATCTTCTTCTACATCTCTCTATCTCTCTCTCTCTCTCTAATTCTCTATCATACTAGCCTTAGCCAAAGTTTTTCTTCACTACTCAGTTCAGAATTACAACAGTTCTTATGTGAAAGATGGGACATGGGATAAAATGAAATTGAACGTACATGTCATCAAATATTGGCAAGCTAAAGGCATAAACAGAAACAGGAAGTTCTGCCAATGCTATTACAACCTTCCAGAAAATATCAGGGATGCTGCCCAGAGTTGATCATTAAAGAGTAAAAAAAATCTAATAATGATACTACAGAACAAATGGCTTCTATGATCAAGAAAAATCTTAAATATGTTCCTTTGCTTCTTGAAAAAAACTAATTTATTTGCATAACATTATTTCAATCACTTGTTTACAGCCTCCTGAACTATTGTCAAATATGTTCGTATATTATCGATCTTTTCTAAGCTCTGAACCTTCGTAGCTCACAAATCTAGAAATCACTTGAACTCCAAGGTCATCTTTGAGATGTGAATTACATTCAAAGTAACTAAAATCTTAAATTTGTTTATGTTCAAAGAAACACAACTCCAACTACTCCCATCTCACCTATCCCTACCAGAAATCCCCACAAGAGAACCATCCTTAGCTACTGATTTCCAAAGATAAATGTGTTAATAGTGGTGAGCTTTCTTTCTCTACTCAATGATGAGCTTTCTTTCTTCAGCTGCATAAACAAACATGATATAGTTCTAAATTTTGGTGTCTTAACATGTTCTTTGTCCCATGGTTACCTTCGGCAATATATTTGACTCCACACTTCTTACATATTGAATATTGTTTCCCACCTGGCTCTTCAACAAGGTCAAACATTTTCCAAGCTTTGGACATTAATTTTCTTTTTCGACTTCCAACAATTATCGCTTTTGATTTTTTCTGAACAGGACTAGACATGTCTTCTAATTCTTCATTAGATGAATCTGCTTCTACATTATCCGCTATAGAATTATGGGTAGAATTAGACTCCATTAACTGTGATGAAAATTACAGAACTACATAAGATTAATAAAATTAAATAAAATTCAACAGATAACACAAATTAACTGATTCTAAACAGAATTAACATTTGAGTATGTATGTAATATGTATGCATGCAAAATGTGTATGTATGTATGTGTATGTGTGTAATTTATAAACGTTATGCTAGCTATATTTATGTGTGGAGATTACACTTCAAGATGCAACCAATTCTCCGGTCCAAATTTGCCATAAGGATATTGCAGTTTTCTGGTCCAAGTTTGCAATAAGGGTGTTACAGTAAAGTGTCAATGTAAATGGAAAGATTTAAAAATAAGATCCGATTTGCTCCGAATTCAGATAAAGCTTACGTGGTCAAAGTCCCCAAATTAGCCTAAAGCAGGTTTAATCTTAAGGGGACTACATAAAGCTAGTATTCATTAAGCACTCACTAAGTGAAAATATAGTTATCCCATGAACATAATAATTGAAGAAGAAGCAGTCTCTGGATTATTCATACAGTCGCAGACAATATCAGAAGAATAGAAGCATTCATTTTGAGTTCCTTGGTTCATTCAATAATTTTCATACATGAGAAAACTTATGTCATACTTGATCTAAAATGCCTCGGTTACACACAATTGCAAATATAACTCAAATAGTTACAGCGAATCAAACAAGCCATTTAATCAGCAAAAAATAAACCAAGTTGAAAGGGGGGAAAAGAGAAATTATTGAATATAAGAACGAAAGTGCCGCTCGCCTCTCGCCG